TTTCGTTCAACTGCCTCGTGAGCAAGGACGTCGAAGAGCTCTCCAAGCTACCCAAGCTGCGCGAACTCTACTTGGCGAGCAATTGGATCACATCGGTGCCACCCATCATGGTTCGGCATCCCCTCGCTTCCTTCGTCTCGTCGAATGTGTGTCTGGCACAGGATCGGTTTTTGCGGCTCGAGACGCTGTCGCTCGAGCGCAACAACATTCCTGGCTCGGGGGTCTTCCTCCTCCTCGCCGTCGCGCCGCGCTTACGGAACCTCAACCTGAGCCACAACAAGATCACGGAATTCCCCGAGGTGCTTTCCTGCAACTTGCTCGTTTGCTTGTGTGAATCTTGCGTCTAGAGCGCCCTGGAGCTTGGAGACAAGCAAGGAGGTGGGTTCTACCACCTCGCCTACCTCAATCTCTCCCACAACAAGATCAGTCGCGAAGACGGTGCGTTTACAGCTGCTGCAATCAAATCAAACGCGTCGCGCTAGACATCAAGGCGCTCACGCAGCTGCGCGTCCTCTCGCAGCTCGTACTCTACGGCAACCCCCTTGCGCACGCGGCCGTCCAGACCCAAGGTCCGCGTCCATGATGGCTTCGATCTTCATTGATCATCGCATTAGACAAGACCAAACTCGTGTACAACCCGGTGCCGAGCATGAGCGAGTGCGACGGGCGCGACATCGAGCTCAACATAGTCATCGCGTACCCCGAGACAAAGCGCAAGAAACCGTCGTACAAGAACGTCAGTATCGCGCGCGTCAAGCAGGACCTGCTTCCGACGGTGGCCGAGTTCAAAGCCAAAGGCAAGCGCGCGCTCTTCGCCGACCCTGCGCCGCAGCCCGAGTCCATTTTCCCGCCTCGCGTACGGCAGTAGTTGCATCGCCAGGACGTTCAACGGCTGGTTGTAGCAACCGCGGCGGCAGCACAACGAAGAGACGCCCGAGGTTGTGGCCGAGCCAGGTAAAACGCTGACGACGACGTCTTGAGCCGACGCGGCGGTGATTAGACATGACGTTCTTGACCGGCGTCGGTCTCGAGAGCAGCGGCCCACACTCGATCCAGGCGCGCCGGCGCAAGGTCTCGGAAAGATGCGAGAAAAACAAATCGCAATATAAGGCGTAGGACCCCAGTGCGGTGCAGAACGACGTCCCGTCCTACTTTTTAGCGCGGTCGTTGGCCCCCAACTCGGAGGTCCGAGCCGATCCTGCCTGCTTCGAGTCGCAATACGAGTCTGCGTAGTCGCAACAAACCAAGCTCAAGACGGCGATGGCCAACTTGCGCTACCAGCTGACGCACCCGCTCACGTCGCACAACGACGAGCGGCTCAACGACGACGTCTCGGCCGTGCGCCCCACCGCCGTCCACAAGGTATGTCCACCTTGCCGACCAGCGCCAACGCCCTCGTAGCTCCGGCAACGGAAAAAATTTGGTCAAGCACCGCGGGGCCGCTTCGGTACGACATGCATACGGTGTCTGCACTCTCGACGGAGGGTTCTTAGCACTGGCCTCGATCGACCAGGCCATCGACGACGTCAACGCGCGGCTGCACAACCGCGGTAGCCTCCTTATGTTCTCGCCCACGCTGCTGACACGGACGACGTAGTGGACGTGCTTGATGCTGGCGACACGTCGCTCAACCACCTCGTGCGGCAAGCCCACCGCATGACGCGGAAGCAGCCGTGAGGGTGTCGCGTATTTAACCCCAAGAGAAAGAAATCGACACACAACGCAATAGGGGTAGGTAGATGGGGGAGTAGTTAAAGTAGTGAAAAGCAGTCTCCAATATCGCGACGACACACGTATTGTTTATGTCGACGCGTAGTGCATGATGCGGTAGAGGAGGACGCGACCGCGCGCGTTCGCGACGGCAAAGTACCCGCTGCTGGGCGAAAACTCGAGCGTCGAGATGTAGTGCAGCGGCGTCTTGACCGTCGGCCAGTTGCCAAAGACGGTCGCGGACGGCATGTGCACCATCTTGAGCGCGTCCTTGGTCTCGCGCGAGGCCATCGCGAGGATCTGCGAGTCGCCGTTGAACTTGAGCGACGAGATGCCCGTCGTGAGCTGCATGAGCGACTTGATCGGCTTGGGCGTCTTGCCGTGCGCGAGCTTGCTTGCGTCATAAATATTGACAACGCCCGAGTCGGCGCCGACCGCGACGAACTTGCCGTCGCCGCTGGCCGCGATCGCGCCGTTCCCGAGACTACCT